ACACAGGCTCCACCCCAAGGTCAAGAGTTTCTCCCAATTTGTCTCAGAGAACAAAGAGGCCTTCAAGGACCTATAGGAAGAAGCATTCAAGCCAGTTTGGTGTGGCCAACTTCCTCCATGACAATGTGGCACCGTGGCCAGAGTGCTGCATTTGCAGGGAGATCTGGGTTCAAAACAACCTGTGACCTTAGGCAGTTTCTTGACCTTTCTGGGCCTCAGTTTCCCCATCTGCACAATGAGGGGGTTGCACTAGGTGGTGTTTTTCAGCTCTAAATGGTACTGTGATCCTCTTATAGTAGAATGGGCAAAAGTTTGAACTGACTCAAACCAATCCAGCAGAAAATGATTTCTTTACATTATGAAAAGATTCCTGGAAGTGTTCTCGTCAATGGCGAATTTTATTATAATTTACGTATATTCACAGAATTTACCTGGGGTTTGTGGGGCATGATGGGTGGATAAAGGGCTAGATTTGTCATCAGGGAATCATAGATTTAGGTTTAGAAAGGGACTTAGAGGTCATGTAGTCTAAGGCCCAGAGATGTGGAGTGACTGGGCCAAGGTCATACAGATAATAAATAGCAGAGCTGGGGCCCGAACCCAGGTCTGACTCCAGATCGAGCACTTTCCACTGTGCCATGTCAGGAGGGCTCATATTCAAATCCTGCCCCTGAAATCACAAGTGGCTTCACCTTTTTTGAGCATCAGTTTGCATATTTGTAAAATAGAAATGATTATACTTGTATACAGGGTTGCTGTGAGGCTTGGATGAGAATCATGTCTGTAAAATGCTTTACAAACATTAAAGAGTACATTATCTGTTGTTAGTCCTTCTCCTCCTTCTCTCTTCCTCATCCTTGTTTTCTTCTTCTTTCTCCTCCTCCTCCTCTTCTTTCTCATCTTCTCCTTTTTCTTCCTCTTTCTTTGCCTGTTCCTCTCTTCTTCTACCTCTTCCTTTTCTTTTCTTCCTTCTCCTCCTCCTCTTTCTCTTCTGCCTCCTCTTCCTCCTCATCTTCTCTTGGGCTTCTGATAGCTTTTACTTCTCTTGACATTCAGCTGCAGTGTGGTTTGGACCTTGGAGGTCATCTGATCTTCATTTTGAGAAAGGAAAAGTATGCTATGTTGGCAAAAGGTCTCCATGTCCTTCCTCACAGTATTCTGACCTGCCAGAAAAAGTCTGCTAATTAATTAATTCATCCATCCATCCATCCATTGTTCCATTCATCCATCCTTCCATCCATTCATCCATCCATCCACCCATCCATCCATCCATCCATCCATCCATCCATCCATCCATCCATCCAAGAACTATTTTCACAAGCAAGGTTCTTGGAACATGGTAAGTGCATAATAAAGGACTTTTCATTCATTTATTAAACATCTGTGCTGTACTGGATACTCAGGAAGATACTAAGACAACTGGCGTGGAACAGATGGGTCCCCAGCATTATGGGTATAGAAGCAAATCTTCCTAATCCTGTATCTCACTGAAGGTGGTTCTTTCCTTATTGCTTGTGACATTGCTTAAGTATAAACACATGGGAGGGTCGTTTTCAAGGGTGAGCTTACCAAGTCATTCTCTGCCTGTTTCCTGATGCTGTGACCTCAGATGGAGCACTGGCCTGAGAGTCAGGAGACCTCGTTCTGGTCTTGGCTCTTGGCTGTCTGATGTTTGGTGTGTGAATTCTCTTTTCTGAGCCTCAGTTTTCCCATCTATTAAATGGAAATAATATCGTCACCATAACACGATTGTTGTGAGTATCAAATGTGAAAATGGATGTGAAAGTTTTCTTGTCTTTGGGTCCCCAGTGCTTAGCAGGTTGCCTGGCATATAGTGTTACTGGGCTGTCCCTGAATCTTCTTTGCTCCAGATTTAGAGCGTCACTTGCACAGGCTCTACCCCACCCCACCCCATTTCTTGTACCTCCTCCCTTGTCAGGGTGAGAGGGGTTCCCAGCTTCACTCCTCCAGTCTGCCTGCCTGCTGGGCACACCTGCCTACCTGCCCTCTGAGGCTCCCTCTCCATCCTTACCTGGGTGGATTTCATCTGTCTCTCTGTCATAGCTCTCTGCTGCCCTCTGCTGTCACTGGTAGAATCCAGAATGGCACAGCTTTCTGGCTTTCCCCTCCCCTTACCACAAGGCACAGAATGAAGGGGTCAGAATCCACCAAGAAAGCTGATGGTTTTTTAAAAAAAATTATTAATTTATTTTGATTTATCAACAATCACTTCCATATTCTTTTGAGTTTAAAATTTTTCCCCCCTTCTTCCCTGCCCACCCTCCCCAAGACACAACTTGATATAGGCTTTACATTTACATTCCTATTAAACATATTTTCACATTAGTGAAGTTGTAAGTAAAAATTAAAACCAATAGGAGGAACCATCAGAAAGATGAAACAAAACTCAACAGAAGATAAAAATAAGTGAGAGCGATTAGACTTCCATAGTTCTTTCTTTGGATGTGGACAGCATTTTCCATCCCGAGGTCTCTGGAGATGTCTCAGATCCTTGTAATGCTGAGAAGGGTTCAGTTTAACAATATTAGTCATTGCATAACGTGGCTGTTACTGTGTACCAAGTCCTCTTGGTTCTGCTCACTTCGCTCAGCATCAGACCATACAAGTCTTTCCAGATTTTTCTGAAGTCAGCCTGTTCATCCTTTCTTATAGCACAATAGTATTCCATTACATTCATATACCACGACTTGCTCAGCCATTCCCCAATGGATGGGCATCCTCTCAATTTCCAATTCTTTGCCACCACAAAAAGAGCTGCTATGACTATTTTTGTACATGTGGGTCCTTTTCCCATTTGTTTGATCTCTTTGGAATATAGCCCTAGAAGTGCTATTGCTAGATCAAAAGGTATGCACATATTTGTAGCCCTATGGGCATAGTTCCAAATTGTTCTCCAAAATGGTTGGATCATTTCACAACTCCACCAACAATGCATTAGTGTTCCAATTTTCCCACATCTTCTCCAACATTTATCATTTCCCTGTTTTGTCATCTTGGCCAACCTGATAGGTGTGATGTGGTACCTCAGAGGTGTTTTGATTTGTATTTCTCTAATCAGTAACGATTTAGAGATTTTTTCATATGACTATAGATGGCTTTAATTTCTTCATCTGAGTACTGTCTGTTCATATCCTTTGACCATTTATCAGTTGGGGAATGGCTTTAATTCTTATAAATCTATCTTAATTCTCTATATATTTTAGAAATGAGGCCTTTATCAGAGAGACTGGTTGTAAAAATTCCTTCCCAACTTTCTACCTTTCTTCTAATCTTAGTTGCATTGGCTTTGTTTGTGCAAAACCTTTTTAATTTAATGCAATCAAAATTATCCACTGTGCTTAAGAAAGCTGATGTTGATACCCAGGATGTGCACCCTGATACTGGCCAAGGGGGAAAAGCAGAAGGTGCTTCACTGTACACAGCCCAGGGCCAAAGGATCTGCTATTGTCCTTTGTCCCTGCCGCCTGCAGGGCTGTCAGAATCCTGGACCCCTCTCCATTACCTTCAGACTGCCCAAGGTGGGTATTTCTGGGGGTAGTTAGCCCAGTGAGGCCTTTCTGCAGGTTTTCCTTAAAGGCCTAAAAAACTGCCTTGAGTCTGGCCCCAGATCAGGAAGGAAGGCATATTCCTCCTTCCCCTTAGTTTTCCCCTTGGATTCCTGAAGAGGCTTTGAGACCTAGAGCGGAAGGCACCTCAAAGGCCATTTGGCCCAACTGATTGACTTTATATATGAGGAAACTGAGGGCCGGAGAGGTCACAGGATCACAGATTGAGTGGGAAGGCACTTCAGAGGCCATGTCGACGGTAAAGAGGATCTGAGATGAGGAAGGCCCCAATCTGAATCTTGTCTGAGATACTTAGACCAGCTGTGCACCTCTGGGTAAGTCACTCATGTCATCTGTAAAATGGGAATAATAATATAATAACAGCACCTACCTCCCAGGGTCTTTGAGAGGATTGAATGAGTTATGTATACAAAGTACTTTGCAAACCTTCAAGTGCCCTGTAAATGCTAGCTATTATTATGTTATGTTATGTTATGTTATGTGACCTGACCTGACATGATATGATATATGTTATATGAGAAAACTGAGGCACAGGGAAGTTGAGGCATAGAATGATAACTCTAGGGCTGGAAGGGACCTCATGAACCCTCTTGGTCAGCCCCTTCATTTTACAGTTGAGGAAACTGAGGCTTAGAATGCTCACAAAATTATAAATCTAGAGCTGGAAAAGATAGGAGATCATCTAGTATAATCCCCTCATTTTACAGATGGAGAAACTGAGGCCCAGGGAGGTCATAGATCATTACTGTAGAGCTGTCAGGGGCTTCAGAGACTGTCAAATTCAGTCCTTTCATCTTACAGAGAACGAAACTGAGACCCCAAGTGGGGAAATTATTTGTCCAGGATCCCATAGGCAGAAAGCATCAGAGACAAGATTAGAACCTATGTCCTTTGACTCCAAAGTCAGTACTCTATGGGCTCACTTTGTGTGGTGCCAAGGCCAATGACGTGGTGCTCTACTCTCCTGTCTTTGGCTAGAGTAGAAGCCGCGCCAGTGCTGCTGGCCATGGATCAGGAGCTCTATCAGACTTTTATTTACAATAACTTTTGCCTACCAGCTCCTTCTAGGAAGGTGGGGAAGATCTTTTCACGGATGTTTTATAAGACATAAAGTATTAAAACTGGAAGGGTCACTGACCTCCTCTTTCCCAGCCACCTCACTTGACTTCCTCCTCATCACCACCATGTACATTTATCTGTTGCTCTAACATTTCCAAAGTGCTTTCCATGACAACCTTGTGGCATACCTGATGCAGTTTAGGGTTTCAGGGGTGCTCGGACCCCCAAATCACAACATGCGGGTCCTGTCCAAAAGAATGTGACCCAAGCCTTCTTTCAGCCAAAGATAAGGTTTATTAGAACATCCATCATATTGGGCAGACTCTTAAGGAGTCTGAACATTAGTAGCTATTGGCTTATTGGCTAGAGTATAAGATTATAAAAATCTAAGCAGTGGCTAGATTATAAGAATCCCAGCATCTTAAGGGAGACAAAATGGACAAGAAAGCCTGTGAGAAGGATGTAGGAGTGGCCATGCAGTTTGGGGTGATGGGAGGAGGGGTCCAAGGAGATGTGGATAGGAGTGGCCAGTAAACTGGGGTGAACAGAACTCCTGGCACCTGGACAATGGAGTCTAACTAGGATTAAGTGTGGGAAATGGCCAGGGGCCATAGGGAGGTAAGAGATGGAGGGGAGATTAGGTATAGCCACAAAGAAAGGCCAGTTGATGGGATTATAGCCTCAGGTGAATGCCAGACATTTGGCCAAGTGGTAAAGTCCAGGGTTTTTCCTTTCTGAGGTCTAGATCCCATCCTCATCACTCCCCCCTCGAAGGAATGGGACTGAAATTCTTTTGGGGTAAGGGGCAAAGTGTGGCTTCTGAAACTGCTTCCTGCTGGCAAGGAGTGTAGAGCTGTCCATGCCTTGAGGAGGTCCCAAAGAAGTTGACTGGAACAGAGCACAGGCTGCATCCAAGGAAGGACAAGAGGACATTGGATGGTTCCTGCTGTTTGCTACCAGCTGTAGGTTAATGGCTCCTAGTCTGGAAGACACAAATCTGACAAAAGAAAAAAGCCTTCAGGGCCCAGATATAAAGCAGTGACTAGATTAGGGCCCAACTGTGAGAGGATGAAACATCCTCAGCTTTGTTTGGATTCAGATAATTCAGTTTTCCAACCATGCAGTATTAAATCCACCTCATAAGCCAGACTCAGGAATAGCCAGGTGGGTAACACTCCCTTTCAAAGGAATATAGTGGAGAAACCAAGCTGGGAGGATCCCAACTTAGACTGAGGCTAAAATTGTCCTCTCAGCTTTTCCTGATGCTGACTTCCCACCAGTATCACCTTCTCTGAGTAGCTTGTGGCATTTCTCTTAGATGGTGAATTATTGATTATCAATGGATTATGACCCATCAGACAACTCAAAAGAAAATCCTATGAGCTTTTCCCTCAAGCAGCAAGTTTCATTAATCACAGCTTAGTAAAAACTTTTCCAGGATTTACATCTCAAACTTAAAATTTGTCCCGGTGTAAAAAGCCAATCATTGGTGATTTCTATGTAATTGCAAATTCTCGGCAAGACAAAACGCAAAGAGGCTTTTTGGCAAGTTTACACATTAAAACAATAACCAATAATCGCCAAATTATGAAAAGTTGCTTGACATAAGTGATACAACAAGTTCACCAATTTGAAACTTGAAACAAACCCATCACCAATCAGGTGACTGCAGTTTTGCGAAATTGTTAAATTCCTTTCCAAATTGCTTTACATAGAGAATCAACATCTCATCATTAACAGTTAAAAAGAAACTTTAAAAGAGGGTGCTTACCCAAGTTCAAAGGCTAGCTTCTTTACCTTGAGCAGGATGAGCTGAACCTGGATGATGCTTCCAGCAAAGGTTGGTCAGGAGATACAGCTGGCCGTCGATGGGGACCCCAGTAGTGAAAGAAAGAGAAACCAGTCAGGTGGAATCAAGAAGCAGGCTGGACAAGACGGAGGCCAACAAACTGGGTGGAGGTGCCAGGGTGATGTGAAAAGGATTGGGCAAGTCAGAGCACATTGGCATTAAGCAGTCTAGATGCAGTAGGATCATCCTGCATCTGGTACTTGAGGGTGGAGTCAGTAAGTCCTTCTACCTCCTCCAGCCTCAGACATCTCCTAACCGTGGGATGTTGGTCAACTTCTCTGGTCCTCAAGGCAGTCCTTAGGGGTTGGAATGCATCTGCCCTGGTGGAAGGAGCACTTATACCAAGAGTGTCCCACGCTGCCCAAATCACCCATTCTGCCAGAATTCTCAGAATTGTGTTATTGTTCAGTTGGTCCAGTCTCATCTGACTCTTCACGACCCCATGTGGGCTTTCTTGGCAAAGGCACTGAAGTGGTTTGCCATTTCCTTTTCCAGCTCATTTTACAGATGAGGAAACTGAGGCAAGCAGGGTTAAGTGACTTGCCCAGGGTCATATAGCTGGTAAAGTGCCTGAGGCAGCATTTGAATTCAGGTCTTCCTGACTCCAGGCCATGCATTCTTTCACTTCACCACCTCTACACTAGCACTAGATAATTTCCCATTTTAACCAATGTTTGCCAACTAGGTGCTAAGCTCAGTTGTTTCTACTCACTTCAAAGAGCATAGTACTTTCTGTGCTTCCTGGATTTGGGAGCCCTAGTGAAAAGCCCTGACCATCTTGCCTTAGTTATATCTACAAGTATGCTTGCTCATTCTTATAGGTGAGGAAATTGAAGCTCACCTAGGTTGCTTGACTGGCCCAGGGTCACACAGTGAAGTGTCCGTGGTAGGATTCAAACCAGGTCTCTCCTGACTCTTGGCCCAGGCCTTCTTTCCACTGTTAATTACTGGAGAAAACTGCAGTATCATGGTGAGTCAGAGAATTCACCTAATCTCTCTTCTTCTGCTCTGCTTGAGAACAAGGCAGGATAGGGCGGAGCAATCTGAGGCCGGACAGTGAAAGGCAGGACTCTCCAGTCTGGTGCTGAAGCTGGACAGGGGCAGACCTTCTCACAGCCTGTCCTTCCACTGATTCTAGGCTCAGCAACATGACAAGCAAGAAAGTCATCGCTGTGTTTGGGGCAACAGGTAAAAAGAACTTCCTTTTTCCATTGGGGGAAGGTTGTCTGAAGATTTTATTCATGCTTCTGTGGGGGCAGGCTTAGGCTATCTATCATCGGATGACTGTAGGAGCATGGCTTGTGTAAAGAACAGAGGCAGATGAGGCATAGCAGGCACAGGACCTGGGTTCAAATCTTTCCTCTGCTACTTACTACCTGTATGACCTTGGGCAAACCTCTTCACCTCTGCACCTCACTTACTTCACTTGTAAAATGGGAGGTGGTTGGACCTGATGTCCCTGTTCAACCTTGGGCAAGTGTTTAAGAGTTGGACCTCAGTTTCCTCATCTATCAAATGAGGGGGATGGACTCATTGATCTCTCAGTTCCCTTTCAGTTTTCAAGCTGTGATTCTTCTAGGGACCTTTAACAAAGAATCCACTTGAATTTCTTGTGTTGGCAGCAAGAAGGAGGATTTAATTTGATTTGATTTTAGGAAATGTTCTCAGAAAGAGTTCCCTATCGTATTTTTCTCTCTTTGTTTATTTACTTTGTTCATTTTTTTGTTTTTTGGTGAGGCAATCAGGGTTAAGTGACTTGCCCAGGGTCACACAGCTAGTACATGTCAAGTGTGTCAAGTGTCTGAGGCTGGATTTGAACTCAGGTCCTCCTGACTCCAAGGCCAGAGCTTTATCCACTGCGCCATCTAGCTGCCCTGTTTGTTTACTTTTTTGGATCATGCCTTGGCTTGTGTAAATCTGTGCTTTATTTGCCAAGGTAGGCTGTGTCTTCAATTCTCTTCTTCCCTTCATTTTCTTAGTTGGAAAAGGAATTAGCAAATGCCTATGTGGGGGATTTGGGGTGAATGGGAAGAGCTAGGAAATGTGTTCTTCTGACAAGAAGCAGTATGGAGTAGTGCACAGAGTGTTGGATTTAGAGACAGAAAGATCTGAGTTTAAATCCCACCTCAGACATTAATAATGTATTGGGAAAGTCACAATCTCTCCAAGCCTCAGTTTCCTCATGTGTAACAGAAATGACAAGGGTAGTACCTTCCTCAAGAGACTGATCACAGATTTAGAGCAGAAAGGGAACTTACAGGTTATTTTACAGTTGGGGAAACTGAGGCAAAGAGAGGCAAAGTGACTTGCCCAGGATCACCTAGCTAGTAAGTATCTGAGGCCAGTTCAAACTTGGTCTTCCTGACTGCAGGTCCAGCTGGAGGGATTCCACAAATGATAGGACAGTGGACTTGACTTTTTCTCTTGGTAAAATTCTTAAACCTGGTTTTAAAGGCATGGTGTGCGTGTTTTTGGCAAAGGAAATGGTGATCACTAAGAGCCAAACATTGCTGTTTATGTGGGTCCTGGAAGATGGCAAGAAGCTTCTGACCCAGCTGGCAAAGCTCTTGGACTTTAGATAGGGGAGCAGAGTGTCCAGGGTGCCAGCTAGCAGTTCCAGAACAGCTGGAGAAAAAAGAAGGCTGGAAGGGGCCCTTTCACCAAATTAGAGCATCAACAGCTCACAGCTCTTTTGATTCCACTGGGTCTTCAAGCTGCTATTTTTTGAGTCTGCAATTTAAATACGGACCCTGCCCTCCCAATTCCCAGGTGTGCTACCTCATGAACTAACACCTTGTGGCTGAGCATCTGAGCAGGATCTGGTGGTACAATGAGCTTCATCCTGCAGCAGAAGAGATTGTGAAATTTTCAGGGTCAATGATCATGGGTCAGAAATGAGTGCCTGCTATAAATCAGGGTTTGATTCATTATTTTATTATTGTTTTAGACTTAAGAAAGTGGTGGAAAAGATGCTAACAAGGCACTTTAAAAGGTTAAAGTGTGGGGTGTATACACTCCCCACCCCACCCCACCCAGCCTGGTTGTTAAACATTTCCCAACACACTCTGATAGGGCTCCATAAACATTGCTGGAGCTTAGCAGGAGGGGAATAGAAGGCTCAGGGAATGAAGGCATTACCAGACTGGAAATGGTAGGCTACTGCTGCTGCTGCTGCAGCTAATAAGCAGAAAAATAACTAGCATTTCTAAAGTGCTTTACATGAAGATTTCATTTGAGCCCTCTTCCCCCATGCCCCTGGCTGCTACTCCTCATAGGAGGGCTGGAGCAGAGTGGGGAGGTGGGAGGTCCCAGAGGACGGATGGGGCCCCCAAAAGGAGGAGTCCAAGACAGATTTGTTCTATCCTTTTTATATAAGTGGGGGCCAGGGTAGGAAGAGTTGGGATGTAATGCTCCAATCCATCCCCTTAGTAGTGTTTGTATTATTGGCTCCATTTTATGGATAAGGAAACAGAGGATTAGAAAAGTGGAATAATTTAACACAAGTAACATTTATTGGTACAAACACACCAATCCCAGGATTCCTGACCCTAAGCCAAGTGTTCTGAGAGCCTCCCTTTCTGATTCCTCATACACACACACACACACACACACACACACACATACAACCTGTATATATACAATCACACACACATATGTATGCATGTTTATTCATTCCTTCATTTCTCAAGACATTTGTTCACTTTTAAATTGATTTTCTTCCTCACCAGGTTCTCAGGGTGGTTCTGTTGCTAGAGCCATTTTGGAGGACAAAGACTTTTCTGTAAGAGCATTGACTCGGGATGTGACCAGACCTGCTGCCCTGGCCCTTCGAGACCTGGGAGCTGAAGTGGTGAAGTGTGACCTGAATGACCAAGAGGCTGTGAAGGGAGCATTAAAAGGCGCCTATGGTGCCTTCCTGCTGACCACCTACTGGGATGACTTTAGCAAGGAGAAGGAAGTGCAGCAGGTAGGGAATAGGGGTATGTCCATCAAAGAAGGGGCTCTAGAGCTCGGGCAGCCCCTGTCCAGTGCTGAAGAGCAGGGGTCTCATGCCCCAGTAAGAGTCCAATCTACATTTGTAAACTCTCAGGACTTTACTGTCTTGTGCCCAAAGCTGATGCTTCTCATTCTAATCAGAACAAGAAGTGTTGATAAGGCAGGATTCCATCCTGTTGAGCTTATCTCTCCCCACAGAGGTGCACTGGCACCTGGAAAGGACAAGTTCTGCCTCCTGATTGGTTCCCAATGAGTGGGGCTGCTCCCAGGACAGTCGACCAGCTGGGACTTATGAGGATGGTCTTATTCTAAGTCCTTTGTACTGGCCTGTAAGTAAGAGTGATAGGAAGACAGACTACTCTTGTCCCTTTTTGCTTTTTTCTTAGTATATGGCATAGGAGAAGGGATTTCTCTTTTTTTCCCTACCCCACTAGGAGCATTGATGGGGACTTTCAGTACCATCACATGGCTGGAATCAACATGTGCTCAATGTAGCCAAAGAGGAAAGTGCCTAAGAATGGATTTCCCCACCTAAGAGATGGTGGTGCTTGGGGCTCTGGGAGAGTCCCTACAGGAACACATGGTGGATGCAGTGTGTACCTGCCCACTTGGCCTGAGAAGGGAGCTAGGTCGTTCTGTTTTTTTAGCTTCTATTTTCCCCCAGTTACATGTAAAACAATTTTTAGCACTTGTTTCAAAATGTTGAGTTCCAAATTCTCTCCCTTCCTTCCTTCCTCCCCACCCCTCCCCCCACCTTCATTAAGAAGGCAGGCGATTTGATCTAGGACTACACACTACGTGTATAGTCCTGCAAAACATATCCCTAATAGTCCTGTTGTGAAAGAAAACAAACAATGACAACAACAAAAACTCAAGGAAAATAAAGAAAGTAAAAAAAGCATGCTTCAATCTGTATTCAGATACCATCAGTTCTTTCTCTGGAGATGGATAGCATGTTTCATCATTAAATCCTTTAGAGTTGTCTTGGATGGTTGTATTGCTGAGAATAGCCAAGTCCTTCATAGTTGATCATCCCACAATATCGCTGTTACTTTGTACACAGTACATTTACTTAGTATCAGATCATCTAAGGCTTTCCAGGTTTTCCTGAGAACATCCTGCTCATCATTTCTCATAGTAAAATAGTATTCCTTTGTAATCACATAGCACAATTTGTTCAGCCATTCCCCAATCGATGGCTTCCCCCAACTTTACCCACAGAAAACGCTATAAAGAGCTAGTTGTTTCCTGAACAACCCAATCTCCTGTGTAGAAGAGGAGAGATTTCAAATCTTCTAGGCATCGTTGTCCCAGAATCTAGTCTTCTGCCCACAAAGGGAAGATTTGTTGCCCCCACCAGCCATGAGTGTTGCCTCATGGATGAGCCTAAGTTCAAGTATTCAAAGTACTGGTCTTTTAGAGAGGGGAGGATAACTTCTAGGTAACTTTGCACCTGGGAAAGAGAAGAATCGATTTACCCATGTGGCTTCTGTGGCTGGAGGATCAATGAGGGGGGCTCATGATTTGGGGAAGCAAGAGAAAAGGACCTTGCCATCCCTCTATTACAGGCAATGCAAGTCCACGGGGAAAGGGGATTGCTGTCTAGAAGGTTCAAAGAAAAGCCTAACCCACAAAGTGGCAGTCAAGTCTCTCTCTCTCTCTCTCTCTCTCTCTCTCTCTCTCTCTCTCTCTCTCTCTGTCTCTCTCTCGCTCTGTCTCTCTCTTTCTGTCTCTCATCTATCTATTATCTATTTATCTGTCATGTCTCTGTCCCTTTGTCTATCAATCTATCATCTTTCTCATCATCTCTATATGTCATTCCTCTATCTGTTCTCTATCTCTCTGACTATTTAGAACTTTGTGGAAGGGAGAGATTTCACTTGGAGTGAGATAAAGGCTTAATGTGAAGTTATTACCCTGAGTTCTTATGTGGGAATTGTTGATGCTATTACAAACATTTAGGGAAAGTTGGACCTTAGCTATGTCTAAGTTATTTGGATTCCTTGGAGCAAACTCCAGGTAGAAGCATAATAAGTAAGAAAAAAACATATGCCTAGGTCAGTTCCCAGAGCTGGGCACTTTGGGTCAAGAATTACACGAATGATTAGAAATATCCCATAGGACTCTGCTTGGGATCCAGCCCCTCCCTAAATCCTGTGTCACTTGTGATTCTGTGCAAGGGAGAGAGAGAGCTACCAAATATGTAGTCTCTATTAGTCTCGAGTCGGGAAGTGCATGTCTTGGCTTGAGTGAAGGAATCAAAAAATGTAGTGGAATAATACCTCATTTATCCACAGCAGAAGGGGAAATGACGGCTGTATTTTCACTAGCCTCTAACTAAAATGTAGCATATCCTTCGATTATTTTAAACGTGGTTCCCAGAAGGGGCCCCTAGGCTTCCCCAGCCTTTCCAAGGGGTTGAAGACACACAAAAAGACAACACTTGCTCTCCAGTCATTTATCTTCGTTACCTTGAATAGTTTTTCGTTTTTTAAAAAATCTTTAAGTAGCTAAAGGCTGCCCTGCTAAGGTCAGAGGAGAGTTGGCTTTGAAGCTCAAAAGACCAAGGCCTCCCAGCGCCCTAGGAAACTCCCTAAAATGATAAATTGCAGAGAAAGTGCCAGAAACTGAATGTGATAGACAGAATTCCCTGCAATCAATATCTTCACAGGTCCAGTCTTCATCTTCATTGTTAGTGAAAGGGAAACTGAGGAATCCATACAATCAAGTTTGTGCACTTGCTCAGAGGAAAGCCCTCAGGCCTTGCTGAAAGCCCTCAGACTCTGAAAGCTCATTCCTCCTGAAGGCTGGGAGCTGTCCTAGAAAAAGAAGGTTTAGGAAGCCTGGTTGTAGATCCAGGAAGGGAGCTCAGAAGCCATCTAGTCCAATCGTCCCATTTGACAGATGAACAGGAAATGAAGTGACTCGCCCAAGGTGAAACAAGGTGCAAACATGTGCTCTGTTATTTCCCAGTCGTGTGATCTTAGGCAAGTCATTAAATTTCTCAGATTCAGTTTCCTCATCTGTAAAATGGGGCTAATAATCCCCATGTCTGAGTTGGCAGGAACCTTAGGAGTGATTTAGTCCAGTCTGTGTCATTTCCAAGCAATGGGAGGAGGGGTCACTTCCCCTGTGCACAAAGGCCTCTAGTGTGGGCTGCCTTAGGATCCTGGGGTCATACCTTTGGGGCAGAGAAGAACTTTAGAGGTCTTCAGGTGCATCCCTTCACATTTTACACAGGAGAAAACTGAGGACAGAAGTGTGCTCCAAGTTGTAGAAGACAGCAGGCTTCTGAGGAAGATTTTGAACTATGTAATAATGACAGTCATGGCCGGCATTTCTCTTGACATTAAGGCTTCCAAAGTCCTCTATGTGTTATCTCACTTGATCCTCACCACAATCCTAGAAGGCAGAGTAGGTGCTGTTATTACTGTCCCCATTTTACGAATGAGGAAACTGAGGCTGAGAAAGGCCAATCAACCTGCCCAGGATCACACAGCTAGTAAGTGGCTGAGGCAAGTTTTGAACTCAGTCAGGTCTTCCTGACTCCCAGTATGGCACACTACACACTTTGCCACTGCCTGAATCCTAAATCCTGAATCCTACCAGTCCTTTCTTCAAATCCTTTGAACTCTGCTCTCTTCAAATCTGGCTTGCATGACTCACCCTGCCTGGCTTTTCTCCTGCTCCCTCACAGCTTCTTAGATAGAGTAATTATTTCTCCCCAAGGCTCCCATCACATCTACCCTAGCAACCAGTTCCTTCTGGGTGATAAGAATGAGACCCTGGCAGGGTTGTTGTGGTGAGGAAGCTGTTTGGTAAACCTTTAAGGAAAAGTTGAAGAAATGGGGCATGATTTCATCAGCTTCGAGATGGCCCACATGAGGAAACCCCTTGGGTCACAGCAGGTTGGCAGCTTCTCTGCCATTTGTCATGCGTGAGAATTGCCTAGAACACTTGGAGGTTAAATGATGAAAATCCGGGGCTCACTACCTGGATGTGTCAGAGGTGGGACTGGAACCGAGTTTCTCCTGGTTCCGAGGCCAGGCAGGCTGACGTTCATAAACCTGAAAGTGCTACAGAAAGGTGGACTATTTTGTGAATGATGCTGTCATCCATCAGTGAGACCATTTTCATTAGCACATTGCTGGGCACAAAGATAGTACGTAATAAATGCTTGTACCCTTCTCTCCCTCCTCCACACCCTTTACCAAGCTCCTTTGGGAGAGACAGTCAGGAGGTCTCTGACTTACTGATCTGAAAGCTCTTTGAACTTTGTACTTCTTTGTACTATGTCTTATGAATCTTTATCCCTTGCTCCGCGCCCCCCCCCCCCCGAAAAGAAGCCTAGCACCCTTCCCTGGGTGGAGTACTGTGAGGTCTCCATTCCTTCAAATAATGAATTCCCTAAAGTAGCTGCACGTATTCAAATTCATAGTATGTGAAAGTTGTACTTATGTAAAATAAAGTCTTTAGTTCTAGCCCAATGGTATGATGAGAGGCGAATTCAAATAATGCATTCATTGCCACATTTGTGGACTCGAGCTTTTTCTTCGGTTTTCAGTTTTCTGCTTCTTCTCCCTCCCTCCCTTCATCTCTCCCTGTTGGGTTTTCCGTGGCCCCCATTGGGATGGGGCTTGGTCCTGGCATTTCATTGGCCCAGGAGGAACTCTCTCCACCAAGCAGATGGGCACCTGCTCCCAAATTCATAGTCTTCCAGAGTTAGCAGCCTGGGGTGATGAGAAGTGAATGCCCTGCCCAGGGGGCCCCAGGCAGGAAGCATGAGAGGCAACTTGAATGTCTCCAAGGCCAGCCATCTCCAATTGCCACATTGTTGCTGCTCTTCTTTTGTTATTACTCTTACTCTCTCTTATCTGGTGGGGTTTCATGACATTGATGATACTCAGGGAACAGATGTGAAAGCAATAACTTTGAAAAATGAGAAAACAGGAATTAGCATAAAAGCAATGGAAAATTCCTTGTATTTTCATATCTTTGGTTCACAGGGGAAAATCGTAGCCGATGCCAGTAAAGAGCTGGGCTTGAAGCACGTGGTATACAGTGGCCTGGAGAATGTCAAGAAGTTGACCAAAGGGAAACTGGAGGTGCCACACTTTGATGGCAAAGGAGAGGTGGAAGAATACTTCTGGAATCTCGGCGTGCCCATGACCAGTGTCAGGGTACCCTACTATGAAAACTTTCTAAAAGGCTTGAAGCCAGTGAAGGCATCTGATGGCGACTACTACAATTTGGGTATGTGAGAGGCAGCAGGGATCAGCGCTATGCCTTCATTCATTCATTCATTCATTCATTCATTCATTCATTCATTCAATATTTAGTGAGAGGCAGTATGATTGTTAGTGGACAGAGGACTGCATTTGAACTCTGAAAGCCTTGGATTCATATTCTACCAGACACTTGCTGGCTGAGTGACCTTGGGCAAGTCTCATCACTTCCTCACCCCCTCTGGGGTCCCTTCTGGATCCCTTCTAGTCTCTGATCCCATGCAAGGCCCTGGTGGGGTGAGGGAGGGAGGTGCAAAGATGTATAAAACACATGGGAGGCAGTGTCCGCTAGTGGAAAGAGCCCTGGATTTGGGGTCTGAGGACTAGGTTCAAATCCTGCCTCTGAGACTTACTATCCATGTGACAGTGGCAGGTCACTTAACCTTCTGGGTCTCAGTTTGTTCATCTGTAAAATGAGGGAGGCCTCTGAGGTCTTTTCCAGCTCTGTGTTCTTCTCAGTCACTTAAGCTCCCTGTGCCTCAGTTTCCTCCTCTGTACAATGAGTGGGGTTGGCCTCTGAGGTCCGTTTCAGGCCTAGATCTGGGACCTTAAGATCTGGGACCAGCAGCTGGTCTCAGCCTGAGACCAGTCAAAGCAGAAGAGAGCCAGGATAAGGCACTCAACGCTTTGCTTAGCAAATATTTTGGAATGAATGAATCCGTGAATGATCTGCTACCCTTTCCTGGGCTACCCCAGGCCTCGGGAACTTCCAGACTGCAGAGATGCCAAAGTTGCCTCTAATGAGTCAAGAAGAGGTTTTTAAGTGTCACTATATCAATCAATCTATAGTTGCTAATCTATAAATATATTGGTCTACGAATGCTAATAACCCAGCCCCACAGCTGGGCTACGTCCTGTGGGTACAAAGATGAAGCCTCTCCTCCGAAATCACTGCCCTTTAGGGGCTGATGTTCTAATGGAGGAGACAAGAGGAACAACAGACTTGTGTCCTGATGTGGAATTGGTCCAGGTGTTTGACAGGGTCTCCCTCAGCATTGTATGGTGAGCTTCCTGCCTCTGACATCACAGGTGGGTAGGGTGGGGAGCATGGATGAGCCAGGCTGTAAGGAAGATTCCCCATTATGGGGGCTGGTTGGGGGAACTAGACAGGAACTAGAGCTGAAGGCTCCCAGTAGCCATCTGGTCCACTTCCCCCTTTTACACAGGAGAAAACTGAGGCCCAGGATGCTAAAGGGACTTGACCAATGTCTGAAGTTTGGAGTCAGGTCCTCTGGCTCCAGAGGCAGTATCTTTCCCCTTTACCACACTGCCTCCTATAGGTCAGCTGTAGCACACAGACAGCCTGTGGCCAGAGAGGCTGGCCCCAGAAAAGTCAGAGGTTCCTCGGGGGACACTTTTCGTTTTGAAGGACTCTCTCTCCCCCATGCCTGGAACGCACTCCCTTCTTCCCTCTGCTTCTTAGGCTCTAGTTCACTTTAAAGCTTAGCTCAGGGACCACTACCTGCGGTGCCCCTCAGGTGCTTGTGCCCCCACGTGCCCCACCAATTACCTTGCGTTTATTGTGTGCATGGTTTGTTTCTCCCAATAGAGGGCAAGGTCCCAGGAGGCAGAGACTTCCAGGCTTTTGTCCACGCAGCCTTAGGGCCTAACCCAGCTACTGCCCCAGAGAGCTAGAAGCAAATGCTCATTGATGGACTGTGATCTCCTACCTGTGTGAGGCTTTTAACCCCTTATGGTGATCCAGCCCACACTGCATCTGAGTGGCCAATGGGCTCTGGGAGGAACGTGCTGTGGGAGGGTCTGTTGTAATTGATTGTTCTTCTGTGTTGGCCAGTGGTGCCTATGAAGGACATCCCCATGGATGGCATCTCTGTTGCTGACGTTGGACCGGCGGTCGTTAGTATCTTCCGATCCCCAGAAGAGTTCCTGGGCAAGGCCGTGGGTCTCAGTGCAGAAGCCCTGACAGTTCAGCAGTATGCAGACATCCTGTCCAAGGTCTTGGGGAAAGTGATTAAAGACGCCAAGGTGAGCCTTGACAGGCCAGAAACAACAGTGCTTGTGGACCCCTTTTCTCCTACTTGAGGGGAAGCATCTGTTCACCTGGGAATTCTGGGAAAGTCTGTGGGTGGGGACAAGCCAGTCATTGTTAGTGGGTGATTGATGATGGGATTTCATAGGTAATGGGGAAGAATCCTTGTACTTTAAGAATTAGTAATAGGGGCAGCTGGGTGGTGCAGTGTATAGAGCACTGGCCCTGAAGTAAGGAGGACCTGAGTTCAAATGTGGCCTCAGTGACCCTGGCCAAGTCACTTAACCCCAATTGCCTAAGAATAGTAATAAAAAAAGAGAATTAGTAATAGCTAACGTTTATATCAAGGTTTAAGATTCACTAAGTGCTTTATGTATATTATCTGCTTTGAACCTGACAGTGACTCTGTGAGGCAGAAGCTATAGCAGCCCCCATTTTACCAATGAGGAAGCTGAGGGAGGTTGAGCGACTAAACCCACCTTCATAACCTGTTCCACCTTACAACCACCTTCCACCTTATAACCTCAGCCCAGGTACCCTTTGCTCAGCCTTCCTGGCATCTTGGCTGTTCCAGGAACAAGACCCTCCATCTCTCAGCTCCAGACATTTTCTCTGGCTGTCTCCCATGTCTGGAACGGTGTTCCTTGTCATCTCCACCTACTGGCTTCCTTCGAGTCTCAACTAAAGTGCCATGTACTGTAGGAAGCCTACCCCAATCTCTGTAAATTCTGGTGCCTTCTCTCTCTTATTTACTTCTTTATTTATTTTGTAGATAGCTTGTTTGTATATATTTGTTTGCTTATTGTCTCCCCCCCCCCATTAGATTGTGAGCTCCTAGAGGGCAGGAAGTATTTGTGTTTTTGCCTTTCTTTGAGTTCCCAGAATTTAGCATAGTACCTGGCACTTACATAGTGGGCATTTAATTACATTATTTAATATATTTGTTCACTCACTGATCCATGGATGCATTCATTCATTTTGCATTCCTTCATTCATGGTTTCCTTCCTTCACCCACTCCATTCATTCATTAATTCATTGGCTCATGCATTTAGGCATGCATTGATTCTTTCTAGACCCGGGAGGCTACATGTAACTGGGAGCTGGAATGTTCTGAAGGAGTGGCCTAGCTGGGATGGCTGGAGCCAGAGCATGAAGGACTTTAAGTGAGCAGCAGAGGAGCATGCATTTTATTTTGGGGGCAGTAAAGAAGCTTCAGTACTTTGGCCACATCATGAGAAGATGGGACTCATGGGAAAAAAACAAAACGAGCAAAAACCCAAACCTGATGTCGGGAAAGATTGAAGACAAAAGGAGAAGGGGAAGGTAGAGGATAGAAGCAATGAACATGAGTTTGGACCGTCTTTGGGAGATAGTGGAGGATAGAAGGGCTTGGCCTGCTATGGTGCAAGGGGTCATGAAGAGTCAGCCCTGACTGAATGACAGAAGCACAAGGCTTTTAAAAGAGGGCTTTTTGAGTGGAGGAGTAAAATGGTCACACTGCTTACTGCTGTGGGTGTCTGCCAGGCTGTGATTACCCGACACAGGCCTTTGTGATAAACATGGCCTTCAGGGCTGGATTCCATCATCTATAAGGTCCCTTCTGATTCTGAGATCACATAAGGATCCCAAAAGCCGAATTATCCGTTTGGGTTTTCAACAATGAACAATGACCATAGTTTTAAAAGGCTTGAGAGACTGGATCTGGCCACATGGTGGCGCCCCAACCCCAGCAGTGAGCCAGCCTCTGGTCTTCCATTTAAAGTTTTTTGTGGTGTGTGGGCTAGTCTACTGGCCTAGAAATGGCAAGGAAAGCTGTGACTCTTTTAGGCACTTCTGCTGACCCTTCTGGAAGGCTGTTCTTGCCTTAACAGAGAGCCAGAGGCATCTGTGCACGACAAGTGAGTCCAGGAGCAAGGCTCTCACTTCTTTGAGGCTTACAAAGCGTGTTAGTGCAAGGCATGTTATCTCCACGTTGCAGATGAAGGAATTAAAGTATAGGGAAGGCCAATGGTCACAAAGATGGCGAATGCAGAGGCAGTGTGACAGAGCCATAGCTCTGAATTCAAATCCCTCCTCTGCCACTTGACTCTCTGTGAGACCTGGGGAAAGTAATTTTACCTTTTGGGGCCTCAGTTTACTACCTTGTGAAATGAGAACATTGGACTGGATGGTCTCTAAGGTGTCTTTTGGGGCAGCTTGTGGCTGGGGGGATAGAATGCAGGGCCTGGAGTCAAGAAGACTCCGAGTGCTGGGTACCCGGAAACCACTCAGGCCATTGCCTGACTTGGTTCTGATGTGGAGAGGAGGCCAGTGGAAGCAGTGTCTCATTAATAAGCAGCTGGAGCTGCTGCAAAAGCAGATTTCTCAGGACAGGCAAACGAATGGTATCTGAACCTCTCCCAGGCTTTTTGCATGAGAAAAATGATTTGCATTATGAAAGGATCATAACTTGACATTTGGAAAGGGATCTCCAAGGCCATCTAATCCAACCCCCTTGTTTTACTGATGGGGAAACTGAGGCCTGAAGAGGGGAAGAGACGTCAGTCATGGACATGGAGCTGAAAGGGACCTCACAGTCTATATTGTCCAGCCCTCTCATTTTACAGAAGGGAAAACTGAGGCCCTGAGGTCCCGCAGGAAGTGTCAAAGGAAGGAACAGAACCTTCCAAGGCCTCAGTTTCCAAATCTGCAAAATGAGCTCCTTGTGGCATTATCTCTAGGACCCTAAACTGGAGCCACAATGAATGGAAGGCATTGAATCTGGGGACTAGGAAATCACTGGAGACTAGGAAATCACTGGAGACCTCGGGGAGAGCAAAGGCAAGACCCGAGGTGGGGGACGAGGCAATGCAGGCTTAGTGTGGGACAGCTTTGCTAGGACTTTATGAGTGAAGGAGGAGGGAGATAGGAGGAGAGAGGAGCTGGAAGAGGTAGAAAGAGGGCAGGAGTGGAGACTGTGCCTGGGCAGGTTTGCAGGCAGACAGAAGGAGTCAGCAGAGAGGGAGGAAGTGAAGATGCCCCAGGAAGGAGGGATGGATTGTGGGAAAGATTCTGGGGGAAGCAGGAGGGAGGAGGAGTGGGGCCCAGGCAGAGACAGGAGCCCTAAAGAGGAGTGGGGCTTCCCATTTTGCACCATCTCCTCCTATTGGGATGTAAACTCCTTAAGGGCGGGGATTGTCTGCATCCTTAGCACTTAGCAAAGTGCCTTTATATATAGTAAGTGCTTAGTAAATCTCTCTCTCCCTCTCTCTCTCTTTCCCTCGTTTCTCCCTCTCTGTTTTTCTCTCTGTCTTTCTCTCTTTCCCTTCTTGTAAATAGAATTTTATTTTAAGATTTTGAGTTCCAAAATTTTTTCCCTCCCTCCCACCATCCCTGCCCTTTCCCTAAGACGGCAACCAATCTGATATAGGTTATACACGTGCAATCAGGTCACACATTCTCCTTCTCTTCTCTCTCTCTGTGCAACTCTCTTCTTCTTTTCGCTTTCCCGATGTCCCTTTCTGTCTTTCTCTTTCTGTTTCTCTCTGACCATGCTGAGAAGAGGGGTAGGGAGGACATTCCAGGGGAAAGGAAGAGAGTCAGCACAGGCACAGAAGGTCATTAATCCAGAAGTAGGAGGAACCTTAGAGGGCATTAGGTTCAATCTCCTCATTTGAAAGATGGGGAAACTGAGGCCCATGCAGATGAAGTGATTTGTCCAAAGTCTCACAGGCCATCGCGTCAGAGGTAGGATTTGTTTGAAGGTAGGTTCTCAGACTCCAGGGCCAATGCCATGATGTCAGGTGCAGAGTAGCCCAGTTTGGCTGGCTCAGGGTGCAGGCAGAGGGGAGCAATACAGCACGTAAGGCTCAGAAAGATGGTGGAGGCCTTTGAATTCTGGGTAAAGGACTTTGAGCTTTACCCCGTGGGCAATGGGAAGCTATTGAAGGACTTTGATGAGAGGAGTGGCTTGACTAAATCTAGGTAAAAGGGCAGTTAGGCTGGTAGCAGAGTAAAGAGTGGATTGGAAGGAGGAGAGAGGAAGCTAAGGCAGGAAGCAGGTGAATGGTCCTGGGGAACTCTACTGAGATGGTGGGAATGGAGGAGAAGCGAGCCGGGACAGGGACATTGTGAGGGACTAGCAAGAGGGCTTAGTAACTGCTACCATGTGAGTGCTGAGGGAGCACGGTCAAAGAGAAGAAGGCTTTACAAACGGGAGATTGGATGAAGGAATGGTAGCTCCCTAGGCAGAGGGGGAAGTCAGAGGCTCAGGTTTAGGAAGACATTACACAATGGGGTCACTTTTCAACCTGTGGAGCTCAAATCCGGGTGATACTTTTGTGTCTGTGGGGGGGGGGGCGGGCCGGTGGTGGTAGTGAAGATGAGAGCAGAGGTCAGGAGAGAGGTCAGAGCTGGAAATACAGGTCTGTGTCTTCTGGGGAGAGCTGCTAGTTGCAGCTCTGATAATGAGCCTGGAATGGACTGTTAAAGGCAAAGGAGTAGAGGGAGAGGAGAAAAGGCCCCAGAGAGTCTTCAAGGGGAGTCTGGAAGACTATTTGTCTGCTTGTCTATAGAGGGAATTCTTGCTTTGGGTGTGACCTGGGCCAGGTGACCCCTGAGGTCCTCTTCCACAGCTGATATTCAAGTGAGGATTTGGCTTGATAACAATCCAGTGTGTGAATCTTTCATTGGCACTGTTTGGAACTTGGCCAATAATGTTTCTTTCTAAAATGTTCTTCAAAAAAAAAAATATGTGTCAGTGGGCAAGTTGCTTCTGGCTTAGTTTCCCCAACTATAAAATGAAGGGGTTCAACTAGATGGCTTCTGAGGTCCCTTCTAGGTCCCTTTAAAGACAGATCTTGTGATCCCTCACTTGCTACCTATGCATCTTTGGGCAAGCCAATGTACCACTCTGTGCCTCAGTTTCCCCATCTGTAAAATATGGAGGTGGACTGAATGTCTTCTAAGATCTCCACCTGCTGTAAATCTACAATCTTGTGATCTCATCAACAAACACTGACACAGATGAACATTTCCATAGACAAAGAACAGAAAAGGAGAATTACATGAAACTATAAATCTCGATTACATACAACTTACCTTTAAAAAATGTGTATCCTAAATTTAACATGCTAGCAGGGCAGTAACGTTTCCTGCTGTGCTCTCTTTCTCTCTCTTTTCCTTCACAGATCACCCCAGAAGCTTATGAGAAGCTGGGATTCCCTGGAGCCCAGGAAATAGCTAACATGATGCGCTTCTGTCACATGAAGCCAGACAGAGATGTGAAGCTCACACACAGGCTCCACCCCAAGGTCAAGAGTTTCTCCCAATTTGTCTCAGAGAACAAAGAGGCCTTCAAGGACCTATAGGAAGAAGCATTCAAGCCAGTTTGGTGTGGCCAACTTCCTCCATGACAATGTGGCACCGTGGCCAGAGTGCTGCATTTGCAGGGAGATCTGGGTTCAAATCCTGACTTTGCCACTAACAACCTGTGACCTTAGGCAGTTTCTTGACCTTTCTGGGCCTCAGTTTCCCCATCTGTACAATGAGGGGGTTGCACTAGGTGGTGTTTTCCAGCTCTAAATGGTACTGTGATCCTCTTATAGGTAGAATGGGCTAAAGTTTGAACTGACTCAAACCAATCCAGCAGAAAGTGATTTCTTTACATTATGAAAAGAGAACACTGGAAGTGTTCTCATCATTGGTGAATATTATTATAATTTACATATATTCACACAATTTACCCAGGGGCTGTGGGGCATGATGGGTGGATAAAGGGCTAGATTTGTCATCAGGGAATCATAGATTTAGGTTTAGAAAGGGACTTATAGTTCATGTAGTCTGAGGCCCAGAGATGTGGAGTGAGTCGGCTAAGGTCATACAGATAATTAGTAGCAGAGCTGGGACCCGAACCCAGGTGTGACTCCAAATTGGACACCTTCCACTGTGCCATGTTAGGAAGGCTCATATTCAAATCCTGCCCCTGAAATCACAAGTGGCTTCACCTTTTTTGAGCATCAGTTTGCTTATCTGTAATATGACAATGATTATACTTGTATACAGGGTTGCTGTGAGGCTTGGATGAGAATCATGTCTGTAAAATGCTTTACAAACATTAAAGAGTACATTATCTGTTATTAGTTCTTCTCCTCCTTCTCACCTCGTCCTCCTTTTGTCTTCTTCTTTCTCCTCCTCCTCCTCTTCTTCCTCCTCCTCCTTCTCTTCTTCATCTCCTCCTTCTCCTCCTTCACTTTCTCCTTTTTCTTCCTCTTCCTTTTCCTCCTCCTCTCTTCTTCTACCTCTTCCTTTTCTTTTCTTCCTTCTCCTCCTCCTCTTTCTCTTCTGCCTCCTCTTCCTCCTCATCTTCTCTTGGGCTTCTGATAGCTTTTACTTCTCTTGACATTCAGCTGCAGTGTGGTTTGGACCTTGGAGGTCATCTGATCTTCATTTTGAGAAAGGAAAATTATGCTATATTGGCAAAAGATCTCCATGTCTTTCCTAACAACACTCTGACCTGCCAGAAGAGGTCTGTTAATTCATCCATCCATCCATCCATCCTTCCATCCATACATCCACCCATCCATCCATTCATCTATCCATCCAAGAACTATTTCACAAGCAAGGTTCTTGGAACATGGTAAGTGCATAATAAAGGACTTTTCATTCATTTATTAAACATCTGTGCTGTACTGGATACTCAGGAAGATACTAAGACAACTGGCGTGGAACAGATGGGTCCCTAGCATTATGGATATAGAAGCAAGTCTTCCTAATCTTGTATCTCGCTGAAGGTGGTTCTTTCCTTAATGCTTGTGACATTGCTAAGTATAAACACATGGGAGGGTCGTTTTCAAGGGTGAGCTTACCAAGTCATTCTCTGCCTATTTCCTGATGCTGTGACCTCAGATGGAGCACTGGCCTGAGAGTCAGGAGACCTCATTCTGGTCTTGGCTCTTGGCTGTCTGATGTTTGGTGTGTGAATTCTCTTTTCTGAGCCTCAGTTTTCCCATCTATTAAATGGAAATAATATCATCACCATAACACGATTGTTGTGAGTATCAAATGTGAAAATGGATGTGAAAGTTTTCTTGTCTTTGGGTCCCCAGTGCTTAGCAGGTTGCCTGGCATATAGTGTTACTGGGCTGTCCCTGAATCTTCTTTGCTCCAGATTTAGAGCGTCACTTGCACAGGCTCTACCCCACCCCACCCCATTTCTTGTACCTCCTCCCTTGTCAGGGTGAGAGGGGTTCCCAGCTTCACTCCTCCAGTCTGCCTGCCTGCTGGGCACACCTGCCTACCTGCCCTCTGAGGCTCCCTCTCCATCCTTACCTGGGTGGATTTCATCTCTGTCTGTCTCTCTGTCATAGCTCTCTTCTGCCCTCTGCTGTCACTGGTAGAATCCAGAATGCCACCGCATGCCTTTCTCCTCCCCTTACCACAAGGCAGAGAATGAAGGGGTCAGAATCCACCGAGAAAGCTGATGTTTTTACCCAGGATGTGCACCCTGATACTGGCCAAGGGGGAAAAGCAGAAGGTGCTTCACTGTACACAGCCCAGGGCCAAAGGATCTGCTATTGTCCTTTGTCCCTGCCGCCTGCAGGGCTGTCAGAATCCTGGACCCCTCTCCATTACCTTCAGACTGCCCAAGGTGGGTATTTCTGGGGGTAGTTAGCCCAGTGAGGCCTTTCTGCAGGTTTTCCTTAAAGGCCTAAAAAACTGCCTTGAGTCTGGCCCCAGATCAGGAAGGAAGGCATATTCCTCCTTCCCCTTAGTTTTCCCCTTGGATTCCTGAAGAGGCTTTGAGACCTAGAGCGGAAGGCACCTCAAAGGCCATTTGGCCCAACTGATTGATTTTATATATGAGGAAACTGAGGCACAGGGAGGTCATAGGATCATTGCTGTACATCTGTCAGGCTTCAAAGACTGTCAAATTCAGTCCTTTCATCTTAAAGAGAAGGAAACTGAGACCCCGAGAGGGGAAATTACTTGCCCAGTGTCCCATAAGAAGAAAGCATCAGAGACAATATTAGAAACAATGTCCTTTGAGTCCAAAGTCAATACTCTATGGGCTCACTTTGCGTGGAGCTGAGGCCAATGACATGATGCTCTACTCTCCTGTCTTTGGCTAGAGTAGAAGCCGCGCCAGTGCTGCTGGCCACGGATCAGGAGTTCTATCAGACTTTTATTTACAATAACTTTTGCATACCAGCTCCTTCTAGGAAGGTGGGGAAGATGTTTTCATGGATATTTCATAAGACATAAAGTATTAAAATTGGAAGGGTCACTGAGCTTCTCTTTCCCAGGCCCCTCCCTGACTTCCTCCTCATCACCACCATGTACATTTATCTGTTGCTCTAACATTTCCAAAGTGCTTTCCATGACAACCTTGTGTATAGCCAGTGCAATGTATTATTATCCCCATTTCTTGGTGGACCAAACAGAGGCTAAGGAATTTGCCTGCAGTCCCCAGCACATTGTGAACCCAGGCCTCCTGCCTCTAAGTCTGGCGCTCTATTTACAATACTATATGGAGAGGAAACTGAGGTCCTGAGACAGGGCTGTGCAGGAGCCAGCTCTAATGCCTGAAAAGCTGATTGTTAAATTTGCAATGTGAATATTTGTACCTCAGGAACCAGCAGATAGTAGGCTTAATTTGTTGTTTTCTTGATTGTCTAGGCTTTAAGAAAGTGATGGAAAAATGTTAGTAATGCAGATTAATCTTAAAAGTTGTCATATATGCATTTCTTTTTCTGGAGAGCCTGTTGTTAAATATTTACCAGCAACCTCCTCCCACCCCTGTAAGTGGCAGAGCTGCCTCTGACATCTGTGACAGAGACACCTGCAATGAGCAAGCCCCATCCTTGGTGTGGGGAGCTCCTGTTAAGAAAACAGACAAGCAGAGCCAGCACTTTCCCAGCAATTTAGAGAGTTGCCTGGGGCAAGGAGAAGTTGAATGACTAGTCCAAGGTCACACCTATAAAATGTGGCAGATATTCCTGAATCCTCAGCCTGCTCTCTTTCCCCTTCTCCATGTTGCCTTTCAGCCACACCATTATTTTTTGCATATATCTTTATTCTTATCCTTTGTTTTCACATCTCCTACATTTCCCAAAATATCCTTCCCAGAGAGCCTCCAGTGAGATCCTATTACAAGGGACAGGTCCATCCCTTATAATGAAGAAGAAAGAGGAAAAAGAAAAGAATTCAGCAAAATTAACACATTGAAAAGAAAACGGATGTCGTGTGTTCTGTACCCACAATTCCTCGTCTCTGCCCCTTGGGTGGCATATCTCTCCTTAAAGCCTCATTATTTTTTATGTATCTTTCACGTCTTTTGGCTCCAGCCCTACCTAGAAACCTGGGAAACACATCCTACTGGACGGCCCAGTGCTTCCCCAATTGAAAGTAAGTACTCAGATCAGAGAGATTAAAAAAAAAAACTCAGCCCTTTTTCTTATTATGGGTAGATTTTAGTTGTTATCACTTGATGTCTGTTTAAAGTATTCTTGATATTCTAAAATTGCTGCCATAGCATTCTGAAAAAGTCCCTCTCTGGGGGAGCAATGAGTCATCAAAGAGAAGTGGGTGAGTCTGATAACCCTGGTTGGGAAAGAGCTCAGGGCCAGGCTGTCATAGCAGCATCTCAGATTCCTGAATGAGCTCCCTTGAATGCTGTAGCCCTCCCCCCCCTCCACCCCACCCCTCCACCCTGGGGAGCTTGGCAAGGGGCAAAGGTTTGGAAACAGAAGGAGGGAGCCCCTTCTCAGAGATGAGAAGAGGGTCAGGCTGAACATCTAAAGGGTTCTTTCACTGAAGCCATAAGGCTTTCAGAGACATTCTGCATAGTTCACATTTGGATCACACTTGGATCACACTTAAAGTTTTACAAAGTTACCTGCTTCACAGTAGGGAGTACAGATTGCACAGTCTCATTTTATAGGTGAGAAAACTGAGGCTCTTTGAGGGAAAATGACTTGCCCATGCTCCCAAGTAGGTGAGCATTAGAAGTCCAGTTTGAACCAGGGTCTTGTGACTCTAGAGACTCAATGTTCTTTCCACTCTATCACATTGTCTTCTAACTAAAGATTCAATATTTGATCAGGAAAAGAAATATTCCTTCATTCTATGCTTTCAAAAAGAGAACAAATAGTCCTCATCTCTGTGGAGGGCACCACCATCCTTCTAGTCACTCAGGTTCGCCACCTTAGAATCATCCTCAACTCTTCCCTCTCTTTCCTCTCCCCAGATCCAGTCATTTGCCATTCTTCAGCATCGTTGCCTCCATCCCATTCTCTCCACCCTATTTTGGGACTTCATCACGTCTCTTATGGACTATTGCAATAATTCCCAATTGATTTCCTTGCCTCCAGTCTCCCAAATTGTCCCACAGTTAGTCAACTAGCATTCATAAAGCACTTACTGGGGCAGCTAGGTGGTGTGGTGAATAGAGCACGGGCCCTGGATTCAGGAGGACCTGAGTTCAAATCTGACCTCAGACACATAACACTAGCTGTGTGACCTTGGACGAGTCACTTAACCCCATTGCCTAGCCAAAAAATAAATAAAGTAAAAAAAAAAAGTAATAAAGCACTTACTACGTGCCAGCCACTGTGCTAAGTGCTGGAAATACAAAGAAAGACAGAAGACAGTTTCTGCTGTCAAGGGGCTCACAGTTGATTGGGGAGAGAATATGGAAACCACTCTGTCCAAACAAGCTATGGGCATGATCAGTTGGGGGCAATCTTAGTAGGAAGGAACTAAGATTAAGGAGGATTGGGAAAGGTTTCTTTCAGAAGGTAAGACTTTAGTTTCCTGAGACTTGA